CGGTTGTCTGTAGCACCAAGTTCCACAACAAAAAAATTCATCAAGCTATCAGGTTGTTTCCATATCGAAAAACTCGCAACCAGGTCGATAATATTGTGATAGAGGAAATACATGTATTCAGTGTTCTTGACGTGCAAGCGCTCCAATAGCCCACCCTCAACTATCGGTATAAGGGAACTGTGGCGCGGAATTTCAAGCTCCATACGTACAGTTGCAAACGAAGCTATGGGTTTTCGGAAGGTTCGTCAAAACAGCTGAATCGACGAGAATTGTTGTGCCGCTGTGGAAAGAAAACAGACTGCTTACCCTGCAATGTTGTCTGGAGCGATATATATCCACTATTGAAGAGGATAGTAAAACACATGAGAAGACAGAAAAAAAGCCGGGATACTAAAGCATGAGGAGTTGGTCGAAAAGGGTAAAAAAAATATTCGAGGACCTATGAAAAGTTTCAAGACCGGAGCCTACTCTTGCAGGACCCAGAGAGGTGATCTAGCGTCTGATGTCCATGCCATACTGAGTTCATCGAGGGGAGAGCTCTCCAGCCTGCTGAATGACAGTGAAAATTGAACACCAGGAGATGACGATGGCAAACTAAATATCTCCTGTCGTCAAAAAATTTACCAACTTCGAACTGGATACTGTCGCAGCCTAAACTTATCCAGTCTCGACTCCAATATGCTCAACGTATGCCCTGCATGTGAAGAATCTCCGCACGGCACTAACCACCTCTTAACATGCCCTCTAAAACCTCCCCCTCTGATCCGAACGCATCGAAACAGCACGATTTCTGGACCTTTCGTTAAATGACCTCAGTGATTTAAATTTTTTAGCCTGTCCCTTAGCGGGGTTATCGAACCGCTACAACGATAACTCGACTGCGACCGAGAGACCCAATAACGAGCCAAATATTCTCTTTTGGGGCCTTCACAAAAAATGTACAGCGCTGTTATGTCGAATGGTCTTAAAGACCAATGTTGCTCTCTGTCCTAAAACATCGCCATTTTTAACTTATAAGTGGGTTGTCTGTAGAGTTCGTACTCGCTGATATGACTTCGGCCCTAAACGGTTCTCAAAGCTTCTTAGTTTTTAATAGTCGCATCTCTAACGGGAAGCAAATACCAGTGAGTAGGTATGAAACTGGAATTTTTCTAAAGAAAAAACACGTATTTATCCGTTGTTATCTATACATTATTCTAATCTATCTGGCAATTTGTAGATTCTGCTCCAAAAGAACTCTTGCTCTTTTATGGCAAGCCAGTCATCGAGTCAATTTCGTACATCTTCGTAGGAAGTAAAGTTAGCAAGTGTGTATCCCAACGATGCAAACGAGTAGTAATCGGATGGGGCAAGGTCCTGTGAGTAAGCCGCATGCTAAAAAACCTCCAAACGGAACGACTTTATCGTTTCCTGGACCGATTTTGCTTTGTGTGCTGATGCATTGTCACGCAGAAAAATCACCTTCTGTTGTCTTTGTTGGTATTCTGGTCTTTTTTCACTCACAACTCGAACCGAATCGCTCATTTGATGTCAGTAGCATTGAGTATTGATAGTTTCCCCAGGTTTCAGCAGCTTGAAGTAGATTACGCCTTTCTGACCCCACCAAACCACACAGCATTGTCTTTCGTCCGTAGCGGTTTGGTCTGGCCGTCGATGTTGATTGTTCACCCGGTGTAACCCATGACTTTTTGCGCTAAGGATTCTCGAAATATATCCTCTTTTTATCGCAGTTTTCTTCAGATGAAAACAAAAAACTAGTGTTGTCCGCGAATCAAAAAATGAAACTCGTTCTATTGTGAATTGAAAATCTTTGTCGGATATCTTAACAATAACAAGACACTGCTGACGTGATGTGTCGGTAGCTATCGTCATCTAGCGCAATCTATGATCACCTGGTAAAGTTTTGCTTTACACTAATTTTGAAAAGAAAGCAGGCACTCGACGTCAAAGTCACCTTGCTTATTCAAACTGAACACGAATTTTAGCTTCTTAGTAGATCTTTTAGCTTTATGGTCTCTCATTCAACACAATAGATGTGTTCGTTGAGAAGTGTCAGTAAAAATTAGCCAGCAAGTTTTACAACAACTGTTCATTTGGTTTTTAAATTTGAATACGTTCATTTATACCGTTAGTATTTTCTGTTTTTTAGTATTTTAATAAAATTGGCAATTGGCGGAGGTGGCAGCCGCGTGGTTAGCATTGTGTACTAACATTCGGAATACTCGGGTTCAAATCCCCGTGCGACCAACATCTAAAAGTCATTGAAAATTTATATAATATAAAAAATTAATTTTAATTTTCTAAGTGTGGTCGCCCCTCGGCAGGGAATGGCTACCCCTCTGAGTATATTTCGGACATGAAAGAAAGGCTCCTCGTAAAAAAACCATCAGCCGTTCGGAGGCTGCTTAGTATAAACTGCAGGTTCCCCCATTTCAGCAATTTTGAAATTTTACATGCCTTATATCCGATACCAATATATTTTTGTAATCGTCTTCAAAAGTTTGAAAATTTATATAAAACTTGCTTTGAAAAAATTTGTCTTAGATTTTCAGTAAGGATGACAGAAATAGGAAAATCAGTTTAAAATTCTTTTTCCGTGCCAGCCTGCTATATTATTTCAATATTATTATAGAGTTATTTCGATTCAGTTTAAACAACCATCTAAACACCACTAATATTTCATTTTGTGCATTGTCGTCGCTTCGGGAAGCTTAAGAAGACCCTCCCCTGATTTTAGATAGAAAAAAAATCGATTTTTTTACGCAAATAATGAAAGCCATATATTTGCAGATTATGCGTTTGAAGGAATTTCGCAATACGATGAAAAATTTTCAAATGGCAGCTTCTCGAAAACACCTGTCCCACGCATGCTGCGAACTTTCAAAAAACTATGAACGCGCTTTACTCGATCTAACTTCAAGCTCCGGGCTTGATCTAACCGTCCGATTTCTTTTATCTAAAAAAAGTTTCCAAGTATAAAGCTTTTTTACGTCTTGAACCCCAGTTTGGTATTAATAATTAATTACTTATATTTTTTAACGGAATTGAAGTGAAAAAGGGAGCAAAAAATTTAACTTTACAATTGCAAATGAGCATTATGCAATAAATTTAAGATTAAAATTGTTTCAATTGATGCAATGGACGTAGCAAATTTCATAATCTTCAAGAAATGACAACGATTTTGAATTTCAGTCTTTCTCAAAAGGGGGTCGGCTTAAAGTTGTTGGGCTATGTTTTTCGCGCAGAGGCCGACAGCAAACGCCATTTTGTAGCCATCGTTTAGAACTTCGAAAATTTTTTTTCCCGCTTCAAAATCTCAAATAATTAACCAATTTAATAGTCCAAACCGGAGGAGGATAATGCATTATATCATCACTATTACGGTTGCAACAACCTCGCTTTGCAATATTTTGCGGCCGTTCTGGTCGGGACGGCTTTCTATTAAATTTAAGGAATCCAATTTCCGATTTCCGTTGCATAAAAAATTATATTGTAATATATATTCTAATTTTTTGACTACCTAATTCCTAATTCCATTTCTTCAACGTGGTTTGGTGGTATGCGGGTGATGATTCTACACCACTGACGCCAAATTCTCATTTAATGAGTACCTTAAGTTTTTAACCCTCCGTCCGACACCAGGGTCTGGCCAGACCTTTTTCGTTTTTGGAGATAAATTTAACATACCTAAAATTTAGATAGCGGAGAACATCATGTAACCGCTCCAGTTATTCAACGTGAAGCTACGACCGAAAGTTTCTTTGATAAAGATGGCACAGAATGGAAAAAGGAGCAAACCCCAAGCCGTACGGGCCAGCATAATATTATTCTATTCAGACCTTGTCCAAAACTTTCAACATCGGTTCCGATTGAGGTATTCAAAAGTTTTTTTACACCGAATATTTCATTCATTATTATTACCGAAACAAATCGAAATGCAAAAATTGCTACTCAAAAATGGAATGAAAAATATCCAAATTCAACGCCAAGAGTTTGGCTTGATTTGACTAGTACTGAGCTTGATGCATTTATTGGAATAATTTTTGCTGCTGGTGTTACAAACAATAATATGCAAGAGTCAGCACTTTTATGGCGTTCAGATGCTTTGCCCATCTTTCGTGCTGCTATGTCATATAGACGATTCCTTGCATTGGCTCAAATCCAGTTTGTGTACAGCATTCGAAAACCAATTATACATGTTTTGCTTGCGTTCTACAGACCGATGCTAGTTAGTATCAAATTTCATAAGAAAATCCATTCAAATCTGTACACATTTGTCCAAACAGTATTGAAATGACTCATAAATAAAGCATAAAAAAGGGAAATAAATGGCTTGTTTTTTTCCATTCCAAATATTTTTGTTGTTTTTTTTTTAAACAGAATTGTAGCTAAACATGTGCCCGAAGATATAAAAAGGTAAGGAACGAATAATATATACCTGAAAAATACATATGAGCCTCTCCATATAGTACTTTTTCCCATATAAACCCATATAAATATATAGGGGTCTGGCCAGGTGTCCGACGAAAGTATATAAAGTGTGGTGTCGGACTAACCCTCCGTCTTGAATCTTGTTGAATCTTTGATATTATTAAATTTACTTCAGAAAAATTATATTTATTTTGATAGAATATTATTCATATTAAAGTGTTAATATTATTTAGATATTAAATCAGTTTTGTTTTGTTGGAAAAAAAGTCATTTGATCACAAATCAGCTGATTTTCTTACGTGCTGAAATTTACTGGCAGAAATTTTCCCAGCACGAATTTGCAACTTTCTCTCCAAACTAAACGTCAAAATTGCGCGCTCTCATTACCAATTTTAGTGAGCTTTTGGCTCAACGAATACGATTCAGTAAAGTTTGATGAAAATTGTTACTGACCGTCTGATAAACGAAGAGAACTAATACCTACCCTCAAATTTGTATAACCCAGCTGAAAAAAAAAATTTACAGTTACAAAGAATTCTTTATTAATTTCACATTTTTTGAAATTTTTCAATTTTTTTACACTTAATTTTAGTATATAATTTTTAGTATTTCGCTTTTTTTTATAACTACATCGTTTAAATAGTACAATTTCGCAGTTATTAAATTTATTAAAAATTTGTTTTCAAAAAGGGCTATTTCTGAAAGGACCGAAATTTATAATATTTTCAAATAAAAACTTTATACTAAGCTGTATACATACATACATACTTAGTTGGTGTCTATGCATGTGGGCTGTGGATAGTTTTCTAAATGTACATATATAAGTGTATATGTGTGTGTGTGTTTTACAACATAACGGGTATTAAATAGCTATGTAACAATTCCATTAATCCAATATTTGGAGAGTCTAATAATTCAAACAAAATCAATTTAGTAACAAAACAAACAAACAATTTGAGAAAAACGTGTTTGTGCGTGTGGGTGTGTGTGTGTCCAATTGAGGAAGTGTTAGGATAAACACACACAAATATGCGCGATCTTGTGTGGCATTCACTAAATCAGCGGCGTAGAATTGTAAGCCCAACTTTCGAGGCTCTCTCCACTAGCTTTCCGCGTTCGCATTACAAAAAGCTTTGCAGTGGAGTGATTTGCAAAAAGCTTTCGACAAAAAAAGCGCTTTCACAGGCAATACGCTTACACCGCTGAAATCATATGACTCTCATCATCCTCGTTTATTGTGTTGACATTCTTCTGCTTGAGCTCCTTATTCGCAATTATAAGATTGGCGGTTTTGTCATTGCCATTCACGATTTTCGATTGTTTATTCGTAACTTCCTGTTTTTTGGACGTTTTCTCTTCACACTCCGCATCATCATTATCAGCTTGTTCTTCCTCATCTTCATCATCTTCTTCATCGTCCTCTTCATCCTCATCAGCATCATTTGCGTTATTTGGGTGGGTTGCATTTGGGTTCGGCGGTGCTTGTGGGGGTGGTGACTCACGTTCTTCGTTTTCATCCTCATAGATGACATCACAATTTGTTGGTATCGTTTTCGGTGGTGGTTTTTTCACAGCTTTTGCAACCTTCTTGGCTGCATCACCGCTGGAGTCTTGCATTGATTGCATTTGTATTTGCATCTCGCGCAAACGATCAGTTAATTCGAAAAGATCGCGTTCCTGTGATTCACAGCGTGTGCGAAGCTCATCGATTTCACGCAAGTCCTCGGGTCGTGGATCCCGGCGTTCATAACGCATACGCATCTCTTCAAAACTAAAAACAGAAAAATTGAAAACCGCAATTAATACGAAGTCTCATTAAAAATTTTACTTATAAAAAGTTTACTTTGAAAAATTCATAAACTTGGAAATGTGCCAATTGCATGAAAGTGGTTAATTTTGTAATTACAACATCTACACCATCGAGCTTTTAGAGATCATGCATACAAACGACCACTGAAAGCTTTTTTTATTACAACCAAAGGTTGTCAGTAAAAGATTACCAACAGCTTCACGGTGTTTTTGAATTTATTGACTATTTTTTAAAATTCTTTTTCCTTTTTCTCTTTAGTTTTCAAGAAAATAAACCAATTTTTTTTTTTTACTTACAGATTTGTCAAGCAACGGCATTTCCTATGAAGCTGCTCGATTTCGTTCGTATTGCTGATGTCTCGCTTATCCATGGCCGACTTCTCTGTGTCATACGCCGCCTTCAGATCCTTCAGATCGTGTTTATGCCGAAGTTCAATTTCTCTGCAGCGTTTGGTCGGCGTCGGTTTGTGGTATTAATTTTATTTTAGCGAAAAATTTGGAAACATTTGTTAGAGTTTGAAGTAAAGTTGGGTATAAAAGAATTTCTTAAACAACTTCGTAAATGGATTGTGTGTTAATGGGAGAGTTTGTGTGTAGAGGAGACTTGCACTTGTGTAATAGTGTTCAATAAATGTAATTAAAAGAAGGTTAATAAATAGTACAAAAGGAATAAATTACCAGTAGACTGTGTGTAATTGAAAAATAAAGCTTTGGGTAGAACTAAGCTTGAGCTAGATATGATTTCCCTATCGCTTCGACTAATGAGGAACCGAGCTACTGCAGGAATTTTAACCATTGTAAGCCTTGATAATCTCTGCCGAGGGGTAAAATAATTTTCCATGGTTTTGGATGTTGATCTGGCCAGGAATTAACCCATAATACAATTTTAAAAATTTCCCAGCCAACACCCTGCTGTTACTCTTCTATCCTTTTCGATTTAAATCCTCAATATAGCTTCGCTGGAAATCCTTATGAAGGTCCTCTTAAGCAATTCAATTTTTAAGATACCCAATAAAGTAATGAGATTAGCTTCAGTTAACCAGAAGAGGAAACAAATATAACTTATTTTCACTGTACCAATATTAAATCTCATTCCTAGTTTTTGTTCCCGAAACAACAGAATATCCAGTTGAAAGTTTAACTTTGAACTTGCTTTGACAGAAAGAGCATCATGCTTCATCTCTAATCATTAACCCAACCTAATGCAATATTTTCTGACAGCCAAGCAGCCATTAAGTCTCTACATTGCAATCATAACACCTCAAAGGTGGCAATAAAATGCAGAGAGATCTTAAACAAACTCTGGACTGTATGCGAAACGAGCATGGTTTGGTCTCTGGTCACAGGAACCTGCGCAACCAACGAAATGGTCAGAAAGGTAACAGACCTAGCCATGGTAAACTCTGACGTGGGCTTACTACTTTCCTCGACAAAGCATCTGCTAAGACTAGCCTTTACGAGCAGGGTCTTTGACACGATGGTTGTGGAAACTGTTAGATTATATTCCCCTCTTATGACGGTTCTCTGGACTACCAACATTCCCAGCTTAAATTTAGTTTCCCCAAAGGCGGAATAATCACTACTATTATCGCTGGCTTAACCTCGTCACTAAATTCACTGTGTATTTAGTAGCTAAGTTTAACAACCCCCCCATAGCAAATTTATAACAACTTTTGAAAAAACTTTTTATTGAATGTACAATTTTATGATGAGATATTAATTATAAAAAAACAAAACTTTTGATTGTGTAAAACTCATTTTCATTAAACAATCAACGATATCTTACATATAAAATAGCAATTATGTTCAATACAAAGCATGCTAAGGTTAAAAATGGCGACATGGTCAGGTAAAGCACAAATATTGATGGCAAAATGTAAGGACACGACCGTTGCGCAAGCGTAAACAATGCAGTGATTATTAGCGATGATGATGCTGACGATGCTGATGAAGAAAATGCCTCATCATTTACATTAAGATCAGGATTCGCATACGAAATGCTGTTGAAAAAGTACATAAGTACACACAGTGGTTAAATGTTTGCCCTGAGACAATTCAACAAGAGATGAATTTTAATTACAAGAAACTCTGGTGAAAAATTCATGCAGCAATCTCAATGCACAAACGAAAGTTATTTAGGAAAAGTAAAAAGCTCGTTCGGTTTTTTTTTATTGATTTTTCAAAATATGATAACTTCGTGTACATTTGTCCGATTTAAGTCAAAAATGGACCGTTTTGTTCGTAAACTTATTGCCAACGAGTCAACTTCATTATACCCCTCTCGTAGAACGCTGCGTCTCTATTGGCAAAAAACTCGGAGAGCATATTTTCAGAGGCCTCTCTTGAGGTTAACTTTCCACCATTGAGCGTGTTTGCCATGGACAGGAAATGGTGGTAATCATTTGGTGTCAGGTCCGGACTATAAGGTGGGTGCATTAGGACCTTTCATCCGAGTTCCTGGAGCTTCTGGCGCGTCACCAAAGACATGTGTGGCCTGGCGTTGTCCTGATGGAACACAATTCGGCCTCTGTTGATCAAAGATGCAATTGCCAATCCCACCAAACACACAGCAAAACCTGGTGCACCTTTGACATCGAAATTACCGGAACGGAACCTAGCAAACCACTTTTGTGCTACATGTTCGTTTACAGCATCGGACCCAAAAACTAAATTAATTTTTTCAGCCGCTTTGGATGCTTTTTCGCCTTGATAGAAGAAAAATTAAAAAATATAGCGAATTTTCTCTTTGCTGGTGTCCATATTTGACGAGCGCCCACAATGCACTGAGTCAGTCAATCGAAAACTGTCAAAGTCAAACTTTTAGCGCGAATTAACACGTTTTCAGCGCCGTACAGTATGACATGATGCGACACGTAACACTAGTACTGTGGACAATAATATTACCTCTTAGATAAAAACCGAACGAACTTTTTACTTGACCAATATAAAACATAAAAAATGTGAATTCGAAAATAAAATAGTAAATTTCGTAAATAAAATTAATAAAAAGGAAATGTAGTTCATAAAATAAATGTTAGTATATAAATTTGTGTTACACACTTTTGTGCTTCACTGTATTTTGTACAATTTTTATTCTAATTTATATTGCAAGTAAAATAATAAATGGTGAGAAAACTCTCTTAATCAAAATTGTAAGTTTTTCGTTATACAGGGTGTTCCAAAGTAAGGCAAGATTTTAATTTGCTGTCATTTATGTGCTGGTAACCATGAAAAAAAATCGACTGCTGACAGTTGAGGCTTAGTAAAAAGGGACATAAGATTATTGAACAAAATTAAAAAAAAAAAAATAAGTAATACTTCACAGCTGCAGTTCGAAAATTTCATACAAAATATACAACATATGTATAGACTGTTAGGAGATTATTTGAAAACTTCCGAAAGAGAGGACCCGTTGAAGGTGTCAAATACACTGGCCGTCGAAAGCAGGTCGTTCAAATTATAATACCAAAGCGGTGCAGAAGCAGAGTATCGTTCACAATTCTCAATTCGATGTCGTGGACAAAAATCGCAAATTTCAGGAATCTCTCTACAGTGTATACTCATTAAAGACCTGTTTCTCCACGCTCTCAAAATTCAATCAACAGCACAACGGAAGCCCAATGACCACATACAGCGAAGTTATAAGAAGGGATTTTTGGCACTGATCATCCTCCTGGTGTGCCACCTCCAAACGGTCGATGGATTTGATTTATTTTATGCAGAATAGTCATGGAAAATTTCGTCAAATTGTATGGAAAGCCGTAGAAGCCATTTGCCCGATATGTTATTCCAAGAATAACCCTATGCTATATACGTTATGATTCTATAAAAGTTACATCGAAAAACTTAAAGCTGTTTTTACTTTCAAATATGAGTAAATTTTGGGACAGCCTTTTGATCCAAATATTTTTTTGGACGCGTGTGTCACTTATTGGTTGCTCAAAGGCTTTCACGATAATCTCCATATGAATTCCACGAGGTAAGGCGAACTCACTGTTCGGATCTTTACTTATTCACACTCAAGTTGAACGTATTTAAAATAGCAGAATAATGCGAAGCGAATCTAGCTACAGACGATCTATGTATATATCAACAGCCGCGTTAGACGAGGCGTTAGCATTACGTACTGCCAATCGGAAGGCTCGGCTTCAAATCCCCATGTCGCCACTCGGCGGGGAATACTAACCCCTCCGAGTGTATTTATGACATCAAATAAAGGCTCCTCGTAAAAAACCCATAAGCCGTTCGGAGAGGGCTTAGTATACACTGTAGGCCACTCCATTTTTGGGAAAAACCTCAAGATGCAAAACCAAGCTAGAGCAGGAGATCGGCGGAAAATCGTTTCAGCGGTTACAAAGCGCCAATTATATATATGTTATGTAATAAATTTATCTTTAAAATTCTTTCAATTAAGGCTCAGGAGGTAGAAAATTTTCTGATTTCAAGTAATGACAACGTTTTTTTTATCTCAGTCCACCACAAGAGGCTGTAGGCCTGTAGGCTGTAGTCAAAATCGTTAGTTCGCACTCTTTTTCATTCTTCCACAAAAAAAAAAAAAAAAAAAAAAAAAACAAATACAAACTTTGCCTGATTTTTGCCCAATATCAGGGGAGGGTCGGGGATCGGTATCTGATTCACTACGTGAAAAGAAATGAATTTAAAGTAAATCGAACCATTAGCTCAATACTTTTATACATCGATTCCAAGTCCTAAAGAAGATGTGCTCATTTTCTTAATATAACATGAGCTTACTACCTATCAAGTTTCAGGATAGTCGAACTATAATACTAATAAGATATAAGAACGACTGTAACAAGTTTTGAATTCATATAACGGTTCAGAAGCCAAACGGATGGGTCTTTTGGCTCTCAATGCCCTTATAGTCTGGGACCCAGTATCTATATATGCTTTCCAGAAGTTATCTTATTGATTGACTCCTTACTTCGCAGGACATTTTGGGAGGTAAAGCGTTGATGGCTATCAATGCATGAGTTGATGTTTTTTATGTGATTTCCTAAGTTGAGCTATATGAGCAGCTTTCCTTGACGCAAAAACCGTCGTCTGGAAAATAATGCGCTACTCGGGAAGTATGAAGCGAAGACTGAGATCTATCCCAGCGCGATTTCGGCATCCAATCCCATAGCTATACTTGATCTGTAGTATTCTACGTCATTCACTGTCTTCAAATAAGGCCTGAAACCTTCGTATCTAGTTAAAGCGTGGAACCAAGTGATATAGTTTCTCAATCATCATCTAGCCCGAAGGCTTCAAATAAAAATTCTCCAAATGTTACCACACTAAAGTATCGTGGTTCAAGATTGGCTTGACTACCGCTGGGTAACAACAATGCATTAGGCCAGGCCACATTCTGCCGAGCGTAGAAGGGTCTTATTAAGTAAGTATCCGAAGAGTAAAAAGTTTTGCATATGCATTGCCATATCGTGTAACATTAACGAACATGCAATTCAGGTTGATGTATGTGGTTATTTGGTTGCTTATGAGCGGTGTTAGTTTTTTTAGCGGTCATTAAATTTATTTCACCTTTTTTTGAAATTACAAAATATTTTAATTATCTCAACTCACTTGATTTGCTCTTCGGCTGCGGTGAGTTTCTTACGATGTCGTTCGGCAAGCTCTTGTAGCGCCTCCTCCTTCTCTGCTTGAAGTTTGGCTTTTTGTTGTTCTATAATGAAAATAAATAAATAATTGCAAACAAAAAATATTTAAAAACAAATAAAAAATGAAAAGTAAATAGTTGAGGAAACTGCTCTCAATAGTTTTGACAATTTACCCAATTCTTTTTGATGATGTTGCCGCATTTCTTGAGTTGCATTTTGCAGCTCTCTGGCAAACTCCTCCTTCACCTGACTTAAGCGATCGCGGAACTTCTCTTCCATCTCCTCTCTCTCAGCTTGGAACTCCTTGCGCAAATTTGCTAGCAAAAAATACAGAAGTGAAATTATTTATATTTGTAGGTTTACTGGAAACTCAAATGCAAAAGAAGACTTTGAAAGCAACATTAATACCTTCCAGCGTCTCCCTTCGCTCCTCCTCGCGACACATCGCGTTTTGGTATTCCCGATCGGCACGATCCAAATGCATACGCATTTGCAGTAAACTGTTATCAGATTTGTCCCGCATGTCACTGAACTCTTCGGTTTTACGCTCGAAACGCTCCTGCAGCTCACTGAGCTGAAATTGGGAAGTGAAATTTAATGAAATTTAATTATAGTTCTGAACTAATAAATCTAATGCATGAATGGATCGTATTATTCAGGTCCTATTGAGGTACGTGCAGGCAAGAGACGAAGCTCACTAGGCTTTAGCTGGTTAAAGGGGAAGCTATAATACTAGTGAATACCTCAGTTTTGAGCTCATCCTCGTTGGCGGTGTAGCGCGACGTCAGAGCGCGTAGCTCTTCAATATGCTCGGCTTGCAGCTTATCGAGAGCCTCTCGACGCTCGTCCACATAGACGGATTCGAGTTCGGTTTTCAGTCTTGTCATCTCTGTACTATATTTGAAATGAAAAATGTTTTTTTATCCTCTATTATTGTTCAAATATTTACGGTCTTACTAAAGTTTGTCCTCCCAGAAGACGGCAGCTTGATTGCGCATCTCGCTGATACGATGAACTACTTCTCGTTCCTTATCACGGAGCGCGCTGTAATTTAAAATAAAATTCCATATCATTTAACCGAAATTTCCTCCCCACACAGCACTTCACTCACTTATCACACTGATTCTTGATCTTCTTTACGGCCTTCATCTGCTCCTCCAGATTCGTATTGGCCGTTTGAAGTTCGCTTTGTATTGTATCAATTTGTTGCATAAGTGTTTTTATCGCCAACTCTTGCTCGGCCACAACGCCACGCAATGATTTAACCTCAGCTTGATATACCTTTAGGCCTTTAACTTCCTGACATCGCTCTTCGAGCTCGTTGTGTAGCTGCTCAGTTCTTTCTAGTGCAATTTGGCGCTCGTGCTGAAGCTTATCTTGTTTATCCTTGGCTTGCAAACGTATTTGACGAAGTTGCCATTCACAATCGGCCATCAGGTTCTCCTCTCGATCTAGCCACAAAAGTAGGGGTTTCTTTGTTGGTATTGTGAAAATCAGTGCCAGCATTGATACTAACCTTGATTTCGTGTTCTAAGCATTTCAAATTCTTTTTGCCATTTATCTTGACAGATCTTCCGCTCCGCTTCCGAGTTCTCCAAGGCATTTTTCAATATTGCGATTTGTGCTTCCAATTCGCCGCGTATTTTCTCTACCTCTTTCCGCCACTCTTCAGCCTCAGTTTGCGCAGTTGCCAGTTGTGTTTGAAGATTGCTCGCCAGAGCTTTGGTTTCAGTGTACTTTGCTTCCAGCTCACTGTATTGCAATTCGAGTTCCTCTGTTGGTGGATTAGTCGTCAGTGGTCAAGGCATTCATTTTAATCTACATATGCGAAATTTACGTACCATATTTTTTTCTAAATTCATCCTCATTTTCACTGTATTTATGCCGCAGTGTTGTCTTTTCATCTTCAATCAACTTCAGTCGCTTTCTCACAAAGTCATCGTCCTTTTGTGCCGCTCTCAACTCTCCTTGCAACCCTAATCATATAAATTTTTAGTTCATTAAGCTCTGATTAATTGTATGCCGGAAATCTAGTAAACAAAATAGAACTCTCTTACGCTCTACGTTCCACGCTTTCGCCGACATTTCCTGCTCCAGTTTCTCGATTTTCGCCTGCATCTCGCTGACTTTGTTTTGCAAGTTTTGCACATTTTTCTGCGCATCCCCAATTTGTGTGTTGTAACGTGATTTTTGTTCTATTAATTCGCGTCTGGAGAAAAATTTCATAATTAATTTAATATGAAATTAAAATCAAATTGAGGAAAAAATACTAGAATACGTCCAAGTAACGAAGAGGAGTATTGTATGAAATTGCAAGGACTTTTACAACAGCGAGTATGTGCATACAGTTCTATCTTTTGTTTCAAAAAAAAAAAAAAAACATTTCTCCGTTTTCTCGATAATCAAAAAGCTAGTTTAAATCCATTTTAACTTATCACTAATAATATTCTTCTTCTTCATTGGGTTGATTACCCCGCAGGGGCAAAGACTAGTTGTCAACTAGAATTCAACTAGTTTGCATTTTTACACCAACGAGTTCCTCTTCATCAATTTTCTAAGTAAGCAACTGGTATTTTTAACACGGCGATGTGCTGACAATTGTCCTACTATGCATCAGCTACATACTAATTTAATACTAGTTTACTTAGGCATGTTGAATTTCTACTTCCCAAAAAAATGGTATTCCGCCTGCGAGAATCAAAGCAAGACCCTCACGCACCACAGTGAAGACTTCTAACCACCAGACTATCGTTATTATATGTGGAGAAAACAAATCTGAGTACTTCAACAGAAATTTATAGGACATGAAATTCAGCTGCGCCATACTAAAAACAAAAACAGCATACGAATGACGTGGAGTTAAAAATTTCTGCTTCACCAAAGATTTAAAAAAAATTCAAATTTTCTGTTTCACCAAAAATTAAAAAAAAATTAAAATTAGGAAACTCTGTTGCCCCAAAAATTAAAAATAACAAAACGAAAAATTTATTTGCCTCTAGCGGTACTCGAACCGGGCTTAACGCGCCACAGAGATAACCTCTAATCACTTGGCTATCATGCCAATTCAACAATCAATGCCATTTTGCGCACTTAAATAGAACAGCGTGGTCTGTCGATATAACAACAACAAACAGTGGTGGAAATATTTATATTTTGGACTTCGTGGTCTTCTTTACAAATAACGAACTGGTATGATTTCATCTTCAACATACTAGTATTTAACTCGAATTTTGGCATACTCTCATGCAGGGTACTTAATTGTATTTGTAAAACTTCCAGTTTCGTATTGAGAGTTGATTTCGGAAAATTATTTACATATATAAATGAATATGTGTGTATGTGCAACTACATATAACGTCTTAGGGGCAGTCCAAGTAGTCATAGATGAACTTTACTTAAACAGAGTTATGTCGTATTAATCCTTAAACCATTTTGAAGTAATCTTTAAACTTCTTTGGGGGAATTATTTTCTCGCAGAATAAATATTTGTAATCAGAGAAAAGAAAATACTGCAACAGCAGGTGGATTCTTATTAAATATATGCTATAGTCGACTCTGGTTAATTTAAACGAGCGATAATTCGAACGTCTCCATAATCCGAAGGCAGCACGTGTTTCCCAAAAGGCGGCGCGTTAAATCGAGCGTACGGCGTTAAACACTAGACAATTCGTAAAAAATAAGACAATATTATCTTCTTATAAGCAAATCTCAGTAAATGAGGAATGACTTAGAAATATCAAAAAGAGAATTCGATTTGTATTTAAAAAGTATTTGGATAAATTGGAAGTGTTAACGACGAAGTTTGTTTGGATTGGTGCGGTAAATTGAAGACTTTGATTAAAAACTAGGATGCACGCGATATTTTTGAAACAGTTGAAGCTGGCTTATTTAAAAAAAAAATTACCAAATAAGACGGTTACTTTTAAAGGTGAAAAATGCCATAGGGAAAGACATAGCAACGAGAGGTTGAAAGTCTTACTTCCAGTAAATATGGATGTATCGGAGAAACTGAATCCATAAAGTTGCAAAAAGTGAAAACGTTTATTACTGCTTAGCACATTAAGAAAACAGCACGGATGACGACAGTAACTTTTCAATGCTGAACGTAGAAATTCACTTCTTTCCGTCGAATGCATTTCCATATTACAATCTTTTTTTTGCTACACCGCTGCCAGCACGTTTTGATTTAATCGTTCACGAAATAAAATTTTAAAATTAAATTTGGTCACTTGTCTTGTTAGTTCATCACTCATTTTATGGTATTAATATCATTTTAATTTTTGGTTTCATTGAGAAAAATGCAAATCATATTTTTCTCATGATTGCTAATTCCTACTGTCTGAACTTTTCCCAGCATGAATTTTTAACTTCCCCTGAAATCTAAATATCCAACAGAGCAAACCATTTAAGTTTTGACATTTCGAGGAGGATTCACTTTCTGTTCGAATTTCTGAATTCCAATAACATTGCAAAGCAACTTTTTAATTCTTAGCGGGGAGTTGCAAATCACTGAGATACCAATGCGGATTGAGATTCAGAACAGCCCCTGTGCGGTTTTCATAAGTACAATTATTTGTTTTGAATAAGCCCTACAAAGTACATTCAATCGTAAAGATCAAATTAAGTAAAAGTTCAGAGTCGCAACAAAATTCTCAATTTGATAGACATGTTACTCATGTGAACTTAGATTAGAGATTCAAACCCGCTCCAATGTAAACAGAATTATTCAAAATGAAATACTCGGTCAAAAGTTATGCCTGGTCATACATATAAAAATAAGAAATTAACACAATGAATTGGAATCTCCTTTTTGTCGCTTAAAAAACCGCAAGAATGGTGAGTATAAAGAATTGGCCACAGCGGCGGAGTTCCGAATAAATAAATAAATTGATTTTCGCTGCATTTCTTAAACCAATTGTTTTAAGTAGTAAATGGTAGTGTTAAGAAAAAAATTAAAGCAAAATTTATCAAAAAAAAAAAAACCAAAACAAAAAAAAATAAAACAAAAAAAACACAAAAAAATAATAAAAAAAAATTTTTAGTAATTTAATTTTAATAATTTTTTTTTAATATTTCGTGAGTTTTGAAATTCTTATTAATTACTTCGCCCATAAAACCATCTTAATTATTTGCTGTTTGTTAAAAATTCATTGCGTTCGCCACTGTACTCATCATCTCATTATGTGGTTATATGAGTAAATTTAATTATTTCCTAAAGGGTAATTCATGTGATTTATTTATTTGATTTGTATGTATGTGTTATATTGTATTTGAATATTTTAGCTAAAATTGCTCACTTTTTATGAGTATTTTATTTTTAAATACATTGTACATATGTATGTATGCATGTACGTAAATATATATGTATACTATAATCTAAAATTTACGTATCTGTTTATAATGAAAATGGATAAATAATCGGAAATTTTGGCACCCATTATTCTTGTTTTTGAAATACACACAGAGAAAAGCTATAAGTGTTTTTCAAAATGTTTTGAAAATTATTGCAAGTTTAGCGCACAAAAAAAAAATATATATAAAAATAAATTAACACAATATCGACTTTATTTACTAGAATTTAATTAATATTCACATATCAGATAAATTGAAAAAAGAAGAAATATTTTGCTAAAAGGTCGCTGAAAATTTTTGAATTTTGCATTGCCCGAGCAAAAAGCAATCCATTATATTTTTCAAAACATGGGTTGAGTGAGTAGTATCTCTCGATTTATGATTGCGCTCGGATTACTCTAGACATCTTTAGAACGATGATAAACAGAACGCAAGTCAGCGAACTGCTGAAAACGTAAATGGTGTTTATGGTCCTGACGCTGTAAATGTCAATTGTGCATAAATTTTATCAAAAGTCTAATTGTAGAAAATGTCGCCCATTTAATGGAGCTCGTCCAGTCTGACCGTCATTCGAGCATTGCACAAAAAATAGTTTGGAAGCACTTGAAAAAGGCTGGATACACGAGGCTGCTCGATGTATGGGTGCTACAGGAGTTAGCGAAAATAAACCTCAAGACCATCTGCGAAGCTCTGCTGGATCGGAACAAAATCGAAACCTAAGCGGATGTTGAGTAGTGACCTCGCGCTAAGTGATTGTCATCTCTTCCTGTCTAATACGGATGATTTGATTTGAAAAATATTCTTTAAGAAAAGCTTTTGAAAATCGATTACCGCATATTTTTGCCAATTGGAATAAGGGTATCTGTGAGTGGGACAATGCAATAAAATGGCTAAAAAGTTATCGAACAAAATTAAAAATGGAGGATCATAATTGAGTGACGGAATATAAAAGAAAAAGCGACGGAAGCGTTAGCCGAGTGGTTAGCATTGCCTACTGCCATGCGGAAGGTCAGGGTTCGAGTTTGGGCAAGGACACCAACAAAAAAAATGATTATAGAAAACTAATTTGAATAAATATAATTTAATTGATCAAACCCTCAGTAGGCCCCTATAAAATATATTACCAAATTTTTTTTTGACCACACCAGTAATCACCAGTAATGTTCTAACATTGATCTGTTAACTGGTTGTGTGGTGAACGGGTGTTCTTAGGTAATGTAAGTAATTAATCTTAAGAAGATCTGACTCTATTCACAAGGAAATACAAAATTGTAGCAGAGGTCAAACCTATTGTACTCTGGTGTGGTTGTAAGTTACGGATAAAGCAAAATGCCAGCATAGACTGTAAAGTGCCTTCAGATACTACATGATCAGCCTCTTACAGGAGCCCTCAAAACAACGCCACACGCAACGCTACATGAAGGTTTGAGTCAGAGCAGTAGAGACGAAGGCAGGAGCAAAAAACTGTTTTTACACATTTTCATAAAATGAAGAAAAGTAGAGGCTTTGGATTTTTGCGCCCAACTACAGATAAAGCTACCAAGCCATTGTAGTATCATTCAAGCCGAAAGAAAGCTATAACAGAGGACATACCTTCTTAAATACAATTCACCTAAGACGGCATTATTTTCACACAGTACGAAGCACTGTGCAAGGTTGCCTGTGAAAAACTTTCGAAACTTACAAAGATATAAGTAACAGAAAAGCGACCAGCCTCCATACTGATAGTAGGACTATTAATGGGTGCAGTGGAGCACCTAATCTGGTAGTGGCGTTCAACCGGCATAAAAAAGATGTCTCCTTGCTTGTGTGGTTTACATGGAACAATGCGCTGACTGTTGGAAAATTAAGGTTGTC